AGTATTTAATATTCTATTTACTAAGTTGTTGTTATTCCCTTTTGTTTACAAGGTTTGTTTATCTTTAATATTTTGTATAGGTTATTCATGGTTTATTTTCTACTCGTGTTATGTTGCGGCTGTGCGAGCAAATAGCAAAGGTGGACCCAAGTCTTTATTTGCATCCAAATGGTGGAAGTCAGTGCAGAGAGGTTGTGAGAGTTGTTGTAATAAGCTTAGAAAAAAACAAGATCCCATGTGAATGAGGTAGTGTAGATGAAGACTGAGGCTTGGATGGTGTCTGAGGTGGAGATGGGATTAGTCTGAAAGGAGAATGATGGAGAGCACAGATTTAAACCGTGCAAAGTGGAGGCTGAGTGGCTTAAAGAAAAAGCAAGCGAGGAGATGTTTGGACTAAAGTAATGATGTCAGTATTGAGATTGACAGCGTGGGAAGGTGGTAGTGATGTAAATAACAGAAAAGCAGCAAAACACCCAGGTGAAGGTGATGAAGGTGACGAACTATTGCAGTGAGTAGCTGTGCTTTAGATCAAGGCAAGATTGAGTTTCTGTGTAATTCAATGGTGCATTTGAGTAATCTCAGTCATCACTGAGCGTGCTCCTGTGACTGGCCAGCACGTTAGTGATGACTGGGAGGTATTGTCCTTATCTTAGACAATATCTGCCTCTCCGACACCAACTTCAGAGAGTCCGGCTCCAGAGTTGAGTCTGTTGGCATCCTGAACCATCAGCCTGCTGCCCCAGCATGCAACAGCATGGAGGATGGCACTGGCCACAACAGACTCGTCAAAAAACCTGAGCTTTGTCTGACAGATGGTAAAAGAATCTCAGCCGCTTCAGAAAATAGAGACGACTCTGGCACTTCCTGAGCAGTGCAGCTGTGCTTTTAACCCAGTCCGGTTTATTGTCAATAACATGACATGCCTAAATGAAATGTTATTGCAGTGTTGTGTTCTTAGTTTTAGTTACTTTTAGTTACTGAAAGGTGACTTTCATGTAGTATTTAAGTAGTTCTCTTTTGTGTTCCTTTCGGTTCTTGTCTCGTCTTTTGTGTCGATCTGATCCAGCTGTGCGTCCCAGCTGTTGTCGCGCTGCTCTTGTCTTATGTTCGCTGTGAGTTTCTCCTCCTAGTGGCCTGTGCCGTTTCTGTGAATCTGTTCCTTAGTTGAGCCTGAAAGTTTGGATTCTCTATACAAAACAGCAGTTTGGATCCACAATCTACTGTTTACACAGCTGAACATGACAGTAGGTATCAAAATGAGATGTCACACCTGTGTGATCAATATAGCTAGATTAATAACATACGAATACCCAAGTGCAGTACCTTACAGAGAATCACCCCACCAGCACCAAATCTACATGAAGGCAGTTGTTTTCAAAAAAATTGGCTCAAAAGCAGAATGAAGAGCTACGGACAGCTTGTCTATAGCTTCTGTTTCTCTGCCCAGTTGTAACATCTGGAACTAGCATAAAAATCCCCACATTTTTACAGCAGTGTAGAGAATCATCTCCGACACCTTATCAGACATTTAAGCGCATTTAACATTTAACACATTTAAAACATTTGACATTTAACACACAGCGCTCTGGCTTCCTGTGGTTCTGATCCAGTGTTCATTTTAAGCACGCCTCATTTTTCTCAGAAGACATGTTTGGTCTCAAAGTACCTCTGGGTTAGCTTGTCTGGATCTGTGCTAGCCAACTTCTTATGAAGATGACACTCGGGCAGACTAACCTTGTCACCATCAGGCACAGCCTCTGATGTCAACAAATGCACATATGATGAAGTTTTATTATGAGGAATAAATACAACTTCAGATATAGTAAACACTCATGCAGTTATGCAACGCAGTTATCATTATTACTGCAATAATACTGTATGGTTGTCACAAAATTCCACAGCACACCTGGATTTGCCTGACATCACTGGAGTTGGGCACCAGTGCAGTAATGCATATGCGTATGAGGATGGAAAGGAGGCAGCATTTCAGATCCATAAAAACGTGATCTAGCTCTAATTAGGGATGACGGCTTCTTCCTGTCTGTTAGTTTCGTCTACTGACCTCCGTACAATGATGTCAACCTCATCTCCTCATCAAATCACTATCAATCACAGGCATGTCACAACATGATTCAGTCAATTCATAATAAGACTGTGCTTCATACTGAAGCCACAGCAATTCCCACAGGAACTTTCCGAGGTCAGAGAAAACAGCAGCGCACTGAAGTAGCCAATTATTCCCACAATATTTTCTCAGGATGCTCTTGTACTTTGTGACTCTCCTGCTATTGATTTTCTCATAAATGCTGAATACCAATACTTGCTGATTAGTTTACTACCATTACTTTTGGTCAGCATTAAAAGATTGTAAATATATTACTGCAGCTACAAACTGAGGCAAGCCGTCTGACCACAGAGGCGGGGCGGCGTGCTGCACTGCAGTTTTGCTGATAATCATTTACACCAGTCCAAGGAGAGCAAGAACGCTTTCATCAGGGATGAGTCAGAGACACAGCACTCCAACAAATGGTTAATGAACATCCAGAGGGAGCTTACATTCTCCTGCTTGTCTCGAAATGTTTACAAGTGCACCCAGTACAAAGACATAATGAGATCAACTCTGGTTCCTGTGTCTCCCTGCTTGTTTTTGCTTGGTGGATCCCTGTTTGTGGATTATGTAAATTTTTTATTAGAGAACCAGATAAAGACTAAGGACAATACGCACGACGCAGAGGGCTAACAAAAGACAGGTGAACTCAATTTAGACGAGAACAGAGGGAACAAAGGACGAAAGTAAAAACTCCACATGAGGAACTAAACTGGAAAATTAAATGGGAAACAAACAAAGAACAAACTCTCCATACAGCGAACACGATGCAGACGGGGGTCCACAAAAGACCAGGCGCCAGGGTTACAACAGAAAAGGATGATTTGAATATTTGCTGGGATGTTGCTGGACTTCTGTAGTTCCTCATTTTGAATCATTTTAAGATGAGCAGTCACTCTTTGCATCCTAACTGCTGTGCAAATGTCTGCCTTCTGCAAATTTGTGTGGATTTTTTTTCACATGTCAGAGTTGCAATCATGAGTCGACTGAGCTTCCATAAAAATCAGAGCCATGCAACTTGATTCCCTCAGCTAATAATATATATGTGCAGTTGATTGCATGAGTGTGTTTGTCTTAACAGTTAGTGCTCGAGTCAGCATGTCTTTTATTATTAGGAACTGAATTTTGATGAGGTGGTAGATATGGATTTTAGTCGGATGAATTATAGATTGATCTCAGCATGTAAACATGTAGGGCACTGCTGTGTGTGTGTGTGTGTTGTGTGTGCTGAATTTCTTGGCAGATTGATGCCTGTGTGTGACCTGCAGGCTCTCGTTGTTAGTCATGGGCTCGGTGGAGCACTCCGCTCTCAGTGTGTAACCTTGGGAGGAGCATACACACCCTTTGCAAGCTCCCACTCTACCAAATAAAGCCCTATACATTTAAATGCAGCAGCTCATCTATAATTCATATCAATACCATGTCATGTAAACAATCTATATCAAGGTCCTGCCTCTGATGCCCGGGGCACTGCTCGTTTCCATCTCGTGAGCAGTTTGTATTATGATAAAATCTATGCCTGTGTCTTTATGGAATCGTGCAGTGTTTCCCTGTCTGCTCTGCTGAGGCTGGGATTATCAGGGTGTGTCTTTGGAGCAAGACTGCAGGAGGTTTCCTCTCCTGCCGGAGGTGCTGCTCGTAAAGCTGCCCTAGAGCCAGAGCGCCATCTGCTGGTCAAATAAACAAAGCGAAAGAGGCCGAGGTGTGGTCTGCAGAAGCTGGATTCGAAATGTGAAGTGAAAGATTAATAAGAGCTTTTGAGAGTTGTCCAGGTGTCCCCAGGCTGTGGTTCCCATTACGGAAGCCAGATCACCTCCAAGAGATCATAAGATTAATCTGATGGGCCAGAGGACCATCAGATTAATCTTATGAAGGATGAGAGAGAAAATCGAGGCTGTAATCCGCACTACAAAATGACATTATCCTGACTTTTATTCAATTCAATTTTATTTATATAGCCACTTTTATCACATAATTCCTTTTGTGAAACACATTATAGTTCACATCCTCAGGCTTTGTCAGTGTTATGAAAGGATTCAAAGCTGTTACTTTAAGGATTGTACTTCATATTATAGGATGTCTAATTTGAATCAGTGAAACCTTCACTTTATCTGTACCTTTAGTTCCTCAGAGGAAAAGTTACAATGTACCAAGCAATTTCTCAAGCAGAAAGCATCACTCCGTCGTTCTTTTAGATTACTCTGAATAAGATTTTGTGTATTTAAAAAAAGGTTTCTCTGCACTGACAACTTGCAGTGAATAGTTTCTCTACTGAAGTGAGCTTTATTATTAAAAAGTCACACAAACTCTGATATTACTATTTGTCAGGTCAGGTCACCTTTGAATGTGGCTCAGATACATAAATTCAGATTGACATCTCGATGCCTTGACCTCGAGCAGAACAATCGCACAGAGCTTTCATGCTGTGTCGTCTTGATGTGGCACGGCTCAGCACTTCTTTCAGGATAAGATCCTTAAACAAAAATGGTGGACGGTGTCCTCACTGCTGCATATTTCCAGCATTTCCAGTCTAAGGTATGTTTGTGAAACTGGCACAAAGTCGCACAGGAAAGCACATCATCTCCTCCGGCTGCTAGGAAGCCGCGGGACCTTGTTAATCTCCCGTCGAAATACATTTAGCCTCAGTGATGACCTGAGACGGGCACTAATGCAGGATGGGAAATAAGTTTTACTTGACTGTTATGAAAGATGCTATTCCTCTGTTGTTTCCTGTTTATCTGTTGATTAGTTTATTAGGGGACAACAACTCGGGCAGCTGTTGCTGTGGAAACCAACGGGCCTCCTGTTAGACCTAATGAAGGACACGGCGGCTCCATTGATAACCACCGAGTCTGAGATGCCGAGACAGCGTTCACACGTATGACTGCTGAGATGAATAAAAATGAGATGACAAATTTATTGAAATTTACAAACAGCAAAAACATGAAGGTTGAAGTTACATCCATCCATCACACCTGTTTTTCCCTTTTTAAACTCACAATTACTTAGTAGAAAATGCTGTGAGTCGATGATGTGGTCTGAAAATACAACTTAACGAACAAATTACAAAAGTACATATACTTATGTATACATGTGTTAATATATACTGTCAGTATGTGTTGTAACAAAGTATGTACAAAGAAGAAGAGATGCAGGCTCGGGAAGTAAAAGACACATAAGATTAATGAAAAGAGAAAAAGGAAAGCAGTAACTGAATAAATTAAGGTTTCTTGGTGTTATTGGTCTGGAATCACGAGCAAAAGTCAGCCAAAAAGAATCAAAGCTGAACCCCTGGATGGCTCTGCAGGGTGTGAAACAGCAGAGGACACTGAGCTGCAAGTGGCTGAGAATGGATCAGATTACTGTAGTGGTTGTCTGGAGTGCCAATTGTATCTGAGCTGGAGGTTGCACATTAAAACCTCCCCCTGCTCCACCCCACAGCGATAGTGTCAGGAATTTGCGACCATGTAGGAACAAGTGGGCGACAGAACAGATCTTCCAACCCCAACGATGGCGCTTCTATGACTTAATCACTAAAACGAGCTGCCTTTTGATGTCAGCTGATTTGTCTCGTTGCTCTCGGTCGCTTTGACTCTGAAAGAGAACCAAAAAAATGGGAAAGAGAAATGAAGGGTAGGAAAATAAAGACAATAGAATCACATCAATGGAAACTATTTTTCAACTCTAGCCTGTTTTACCGAGCTCAGCAGAGTGACGGGTCCACTGGCAGCGTGTCTGGGGAGTCGGCTCCTCCATCACTACTGGAGGTCACTGCTATCTCTCCCAGACACATGTTAGTTCAATGCCCCATGTGCCTCTCTTTATCCTGTCTTTCTCTTCATCTCTGAATTAGCAGCTGCTCCTCAGTCCACTTGCCTCTGTCTGCCACCTGCCAGTTCTTATCTTTGCACTTCACCTTGCTGCTCTGCTTGTCCTCTTGCTGACTTCCACTTTTCATAGTTTCTGCAGTGATTCTTACTGCCCTTCCCGTCCCTGTTGTTGCCTTTGTGCAGAACCTAATTTCACCAGTGTGTCCTCCTGTTCATAAAGCAAGACTTTTAGGTCATCCAGACTCGAGGCCTGTTTCCTCGTATCCACTCTATATTCCTGCTCTTGCATCTCTTCAGGCACTGCTGCTTTCTAATGCTATACAATCTCTACAGTCACACTTCATTGGCTGCCCACAGGTCTTTCTCACTGCTGTTCCTCAAATGAGATTACACTTGTGTCATTCAGTCTAACTATTATGGCTGAGTCATGCTCGAGTAAATATACAACAACAACCTCAACTAAGAATTATCAATTTTTGATTGATAATCAGTTGTTACCGACCTCCGCCTCTGGGGAACTACTTTCAATTCCAAGGAGACTGCACAGATCAGCTGGTGTGAGGCAACGTTTCTCCAAACAAGCCCAATCTGACTGACTGACTGCCGTCACTTTCATACAGATCGGTGAAGGTTTGCAAATGATAACAATGGATTGCATTTATATAGCGCTTTACAATTCCACTATTCATTCACACGCTGGTGGAGGCAGCTACAGTTGTAGCCACAGCTGCAGACTGACAGAAGCGAGGCTGCCATATCGCGCCATCGGCCCCTCACCAGTGGGCGGTAGGTGAAGTGTCTTGCCCAAGGACACAACGACCAAGACTGTCCGAGCCGGGGCTCGAACCGGCAACCTTGCGATCACAAGACGAACTGCCAACTCTCAGGTCAGGTCAGCTGACGTGTCACTGACGATGTCAGTCTAGACTTTAAATGGGATCCTTGTAGCTGCTCTAATCTTGTATTTTCAACATTATTTCTAAATAATATGGTACTTTGATAACTCTGCCAGTGAAATCTTGGAAAAATAAACTGAAGTTTTCAGTTTACACAAAATATATAAAATGATCTACAGGATGTTTGCAGATACAGTGAGAAAATGCTGCTGTTCTCTGTCATCCGTCCTTCACTGTATAATCGTGTTTTTCATGCTTGTCGGTGGAATCAGCAACATGATTTAAGATCTCCATATGAACCAGATGTTTTGTTTACATCAACAGAAATGACAGAAAAATCCAGGCAGAGAAAGACGGAATATCGAGCTTATGACCCTTACAAACTTATAATAAATCCCAGACTCGTGTTGCTATAACTAAGAAAAACACACACACTGGTCGAGCTGTCACTGCCGTCTGCGGTGGGCTGATTAGTGAATCGCTGTCACCACCGAGCTGTGACTGATAGCCCCCTGACAAATGGGCCTTTTCACCTCGACCACCGTTTGTTTTCGTTTTACGAAGGTACATAAACACTCAGACATCGTGGGTGTAATTTGTCTCGCTGCCAGCCCAAACTGCTCGGCTCCCCTTAGATCAACAGCCTGAAAAGGAGAGAAAAGACGCTTTTACCTCAGCCAGCAGACCAATGAGGAGGCTGGTTAACAGCCGTGTGAGAGAGAGAGACAGCTGTGAAAACTGAGACGAGAACAACTCTGCGTTATCCCACTGCTGCTGAAATATCACCAGGTATATTAGGTAGGTATATTCTGCTGCTTCTACTTTTACTTATCTAAATCCTGCTACCACTAACTGCTCAGTACCACTGAAACTGGAGTTATACTACTGTGATTATGCCACAGCAGAGGCGTAGGTTGTTTCATGGATGGATTTGCTTTCCCAAAATAACTACAAGTTGCAGCTTCTTAGCAGTAATAAGAAGCTGCAAGAGGAAACAATCAGCAGAGGAAACAATGAAACTGAATTTAATAAGATGTAATTGTATCCTGTTTGTTCCTTTTCTAATGCGCAGCTCATATTCTGCCCACGCAGACATGTTTTCTTATTTTCATAGCTCTGATAATCTGTGTATTAGCTCGACATTCATCAACTCTCAGACCAACACGAGCTGCTTAGTTTCAGTTGGGGTGACTGAAGTAGACAAAAGAGACTGGAAATAAGAAAAAAGAGGAAATATTAAATTATAAAGCAACGATCAGAGCTGTAAACTAGCTGCCATCCAAACCATACAACTTAAAAAACACTTCCAAAACATTGTGCTAACCTGAAGACAAAAGGAAACATGGAGACATTCCCACTCTGTGACTGTGTTTCTAAACTATGGCACATGACGAGCATGAGCCGAAAACGATCACTTCATCAACCTGGCTGGAGAAACGTATCAAATGAGCTTCATGCAGCATGAGCGGGTTCGCACTGAGCAGCAGCTGGAGTGAGAACAGAGACTCTGCTCCCTGTCGTTGCACCTGTCCTTAATCAGGCCGATCGGTTCAACGGCTCCGAAGAATTGGTGCATTCACAGCGTGTGCTCTACTCTCTGCTAGACTGCACCGGCGAGCTCAACGTGTTATTTTGAAACAAGCTGAGCTGCTGTTTTATTGAACTGTGTCATGGTCTAAGTGAACTTTGATTATATTCTGTTTTTACGGGCAGCAGTGTGAAGGTTAGCGTCAGCTCGATGGAGGTTAAGCATGTGCAGTACGTTGTTAGGGCGCGTAGAGCTGCCGTTCCTATAGTCTACCAGCCTTTCCCTGAATTTCTTCTCTTCCCACTGTCATTATCTTAAAGGGAAAATCTGTTCAAGTTCAAATCTGTGGCAAACAAGAAACATGTAATGAGTAAAAAGGCCAGCTGTATTAGATATATTCAGATTTATCTTATTTTTTCACAGAGCACAGAAAGTTAAGCAAGGGTGATGCAAATCATTCCCAACAAGAGGTACAAGTTAGAAAAAATTAGAAATGATTAGCTTAACCACTGGGTTTATACTGCAGTCGCATACCTGACGGTAAGCCTCCTCAGAGAGCCAGGCACACCCTCAGCTCCTCTAACGTTAGGCTTCGGTCTCGATCGCTGTCGCAGTACTGGGCGAACTTCTTAGCACAGCGTCGTGGCTTCAGTCTGCGCCGCAGGAACTGACGGAGGGGTCGAGCCTCACGCTCACTGAGCCACCCGTCAGAGTCCACGTCCAGCTGACTAAAGTGCCACTGCAGCACCACCTCTGGCCTAGAAGACTCTGCAGCATCAGCGGAGGCATTATCCAGAGAGGAGGAAGATGATGAAGGAGCCACAGAGGGTGGAGGGTTTGAAGTGGGCGAAGGAGCACTGGAAGTATCTGTGTTTGAGTCTCTGATGGAAAGAAGCGGCACAAAAACCCAAGAGATGAGACACTTTGCTGGTGTAAAGGACGCCACCTCATTCAGGTTCTTTTTTCAAATCACTTTTCACAGAAAACACATTTAAAGAAACAGTTCTGTGTGACAAAATAGTGAAAAACTTAAATTTGAAAGTCACTCAAACCTTAAAATCACTGTTAGCATCACAGAGAGCACGGAATAAGAGAAGGAGCAGCCGACATCTTCACACATCTGTACTCAGATTTGACAGTGTGTCTCAATGTTTACACACTGATCGTATAGAACCCAGCAGCACTATTCACAACGCTCCAGCAGAACTCAATAAACATCCCATTTCACAAGGACAAGGGAGCCTGCTGACAAACAGAATCACCAGATGGATTTCTCAGTTCCCTCTTATCAGTTATAAAGCAAGCTGAGCAACTGAAGCTTCAAATTTATGTCAGACACAAACCGCAAACAAGTCTGGAATGAATGAAACGGCAAAGCCAAAGTTATCGTGAAGAAATATGCTGGAGCTGAAAATCTGTGCATGTTTGGTGGAGAATAATAAAGTGGGTGAAGGATGGGACACAGATGCATGAAAAGCATGAACCTGAAGAAGTGAGCCAACAACATGTTTGTAAACTGAGACTGAGGAGCAGATGGAAAGAATGAGGTAAGTGCTGATTGGCAAACGCAGGAAAACAGATGGGAATATTCCGTTCTGTTCTTCCTGCAGGTTATCAGGTGCTTGATCAAATCTGCACTGTTCACCGATGTGTGAAACTGGTTTTCATTTTCAATTCTGCGTACCATCTCAGCACTGCAACACACCGGAGGAATCACTATCAGCTCCTGCTGTGCAACAGGTGGCACATTACACACCTGAGACGGAAGAATTTCTCTTGATTTAAAGCAGATCTACAGGTTTCACGTTGTACGAGCACGCAGGCACAGAGCGGACGTAATGCAAATTTATGGTGCGAGTCTGAAGCCTGTTCCATTTCACAAAATCAAAACATATTTAAATAATACAAACACAGCCTGCTTAGTTCGTAGGGGTCTTCTAAACGGATGTCTGCTTATTGAGAAATGATTTTTATCTGAGATAACTGTGCCATCTACTGTTTCCACCGTATATTTCCTAAATCAGTGCCTGCTTACTCAAATATACTTGCACATTAGTCAGTTTTCTCTCTACAGAGAGGTATATTGAAATTTCAGGCACTAAGACAAACTTCCACATGTAGACACTTTGGGACTCTCAGAAACTCGACCTGCTACAGACATGTTGTTCATTTCTATTTAGAGATTCTGACATGAGAGTACGTGCAGATGATGAAAAAGTGAGTAAATAACAATTTCAGACACAGCCTGAGATGTTACTGTGAGTTTCACAGAAGATCATTAATCACTGCTGCACTCGTCACCCCCCTGCTGTCTACAGTATCCAGACTTACTGGTAGGGACTCTGACTCCCAGCATGCTGTGCTTCCACCTGCAGCGCTCTGACCAGACTCTGAAGGAACTTCTTCTTACGAGCTCCAGGACACCCTGTGAGATCAGAGTAAAGACTGTAACCTGAATGATATGAACATCATCGGCCTCCACATGACATCAGACACGTAACAAATGGCCTATATATAGTAAACAGGATGAGAAATTCACATCTGGGCAAACTGCTTTTCAGTTATTTTGGCTGAAAATGGAAAATGTGTGAGATGTTTACAGGATGCTTTAAATCTGTATATTTTTGTTTTTCCACCAATCAGAAACTTTCATATTTACCAGGCAGAGGTTTCTCCAGTGAGGCAGCCTCTGCCCTAGTGCAGTCCGGGATTTGATTCCTGTGAACACACACACACACACACACACACACACACACACACACACACACACACACACACACACACACACACACACACACACACACACACACACACACACACGATCATCACATATAAAGTCAACCAAATTGGAAAATGTGAAAAAAATAACATCAAAAAGGACTTAATGTAAAAAACAGGGTTTGGGTGGAATCACTGATCACATTTTCATGGAACTACACATTAAAATAAAAACTCTATATGGCTCATCTCACTTCATGATTTATTTTTAGCTTTTTATTGTTTATTAATGCGACGAAGCCCCAGCTGAGTATTGTGAGCGCTGTCATCTCGGTCCTTTGAAACCAGACTGAAACCAGCAGCTGAGACTGTAAACTCCTGGTTTACTGAGGTCACAGAGGGACTGAGCAGTAGAATTTGAATTAATAAATGCAAAATATGACTGGCACTTCTTTTCATGTACACAAATCTGATGCTTTGATTTGTTTTGTGTGCTAAAGGGGGAAACAGCTGTTTGATTTAATTGGCTGACAGTGATTTCTATTTACAGAATTACAAGTCCAACCACATAAAGTGCTTAGACATTAGATAGAAAAATTTTAAAAAACGCATTAGGCCTAAGGGAGTTTATTCTCACATCAGTGAACCAAAACCATCACAAGAAAACATCCACCAGTTCGCTCCCAGGAGTTTGAAAGCAGCTGTGCAGCAACAACGCTGATAAAGCCCCTCGAGAACAGGAAAGTCCGACCATAATTTATTCTGATTTGCTCTGTGTCTTTCCTTTAAGGCAAATCCACCTAGGGAGCAGTGACAGTAATTGGTGTAAAATTATATGATTAACATGAAATGCTTCTGTGACTGCAAAACCAGTCAAATCTGACGACTGGAAGGGAGGACAGGGGATAAGAGGAGCGAAAAAAAAAGAAAAGACAGTAAAAGAGAAAGTTTTTAAAAGGAATAACAGTCAAGTTTCCAACACACTAATGAGCTAAATAACGAACAAACAGATTTCTTACCGTGCTGAGGTGCCTGGTCGTGGCCTCCCAGTGTCCACTCTGACACACCAGCAGTAACCTGTAGCAGTGTGGCACTGCACGGGGCTGTAACGCCCATCTGCAGTGCATTCTGGGATGAAACGCTCATCCTCCCGGGCTTGACGAGTCTGAGAGAGCAGAGACGCTCGCTCACGCTGACAAGTCTGAGGATTGTCTGCGCACACACACACACACACACACACACACACACACACACACACTTATTCTATATCAAAACAATTCTGTAAAGTTACATAAAATACACACAAAGGCTGTTTAAAATATGTGGAATGAAACTTTAAGCGTTAAAAGAAGAGTACATATATGAGAATACATATACATATATAAACATATACGACTCTTACCAGGAGGTCGTCTGAGTGAGCGGTTTCCTCGTGACTCAGAGTTCATCAGGATGGTCACCCAGAAAGGAGGCGCCGTCAGCTCTGAATGAGAATAAAACAGCTTTCAAATAAGATTTCAGAGTATTTCCCTTTTTCTTAGAGGTCGTTCAGCTGAATATCTGCTACAATAACACAACGTGACATGAAAAAAAACTGCATCCAGTATACGTATGTGTTATATTTATATTATATTATATTTCAAGTACACTAGGAGGAACACAGAGCTTTTCCCTTTATCAAAACATCCCCACTGTTTAACACCCAGGACTGACCCAAATATATCTTAACGTAAACCGAAAGCGAATTTTTGGGCCACAAAAGGGAACAAGCTGCAAACAGCCACTGACAGGTCATCGGTGTACAAGTCGACATTTGCTTTCTGTATCCCACAAACACACACATCCACTGTGTTACTCTAAACTCATGAGGACTTATCTCTGTAGCTGCTCAGTGCTTTTTATCTTCACCATGTTGTTTGCTTCTGAGTGATATTATGTGGGGTTTGTTTAATTCTTTAAGACCTACCATAGAACCAAGTCTGCCAGAGCTTATATTATATTTTTACATGCTGTGGAGCCATTTTTGGGAGCATTTCAAGTTGATATACATCAATACAACCATTATAGCCCAAATGTAAATAATATGTATGCATTAAGTGCATAGTAATTACATAAATTGCAAAAAAGTGCAATAAACTACAAAAAAATTTAAAATCATTTTTGTTTTTTTAACATATTTCTAGTTAGAGAAATTTAAGAGGCTTATCTCTCAAAACTGTAAATACAAAACAGTTGCACAAAATAGTTTCCCACCACAGGAAATTTATTTTAAGTATCTTCATAGTTTTATTTTTGAAATACACCAATTTTTATACACTGCAGGAAAAACGAAAATAAATATTATAATGAAGATTTGCAAAATAACAGCATATGCATCAAAATAAACTATTTCCAGCAGTGCAATATGAGTCCTAAGCATCCCAGAAATGACACAGAAAGTCATAAAGTCAAACATAACTTTTAAAAACACCAGTACAGGCTCATGAGGCCCTGATGGTAAAAAAACTACATTTCCGCAAAATGACGTCACTTCCGGTTTCGGGCAGGACATGGCGGACATGTGACAGTTCGCGCTGATGGCTTTAAAGGGTTAAAGACCTTTTTCTCAAGAACCAGTGCCATGTTACATATTATATATTATATTATGTTAAATCTGATGCTGTGAAAAAGCAATGAGCAGCACTGTCACATTGTAGTTGTTATTAAAAAAGGGAAAGTTTGGAAAGTTAAAAATGTTAAGGAGGGTTGAAACAGAAAAGACTTGACCCGGGATCCTCTGCTGTATCGTCAGTGTGTTATATGGTTTTGTTTGAAACAAATTAAAACCCATACATGTAAAATGATAATCAATTAATTTTTTTACATTTGTTAGAAGATTCAATATATACCCCAGTTCCTAAAAAAAGTAATTTTCTGAGTCCTGTATGTGATGTATGTTTCAAGTTTTTCCACTTTACAAAACATGAAAATTAGCTTTCTGTTCCTCACTTACAGCTAATCTTTAATTGAAACTGACGTGCTGGTATATAAATGACATGTAGTGAGCTTCACAGTGGTTAATCATAGCAGCTATGTTCTGCCCACGTATGCATTAAACTATCTTTAGTAGAAGAGGTTTTTATTTTCTCACCTGCAGGTTTTCTAGGGTCCAGCGTAGGTCCAGGTCCAACGTCTCCATCTGAAATAAAAGAAAACAGAGTGAATGGAAGAAGAAGAAGATGGGGGGATAGTTTGGACAGGTGGAGGAAAGCATGTGAAAAAGCAGAGAAAGGAAATTATGAAATCGGGTATGTTCCACCTTGAGATTTATACAGCGAAGATGTCCATAAATATTAGTTACAATCTAAAAACTTAAAACACAAACACAATACAATAAATACTTTAAATTTAACAAGAAACTTAGAGGAGGTGCTACATTTCTACATGACACTGCAGAGCAGCTCAACAAACCTTTACCAAAAATCCTCAGTTGCATCTGTAAGGGGACAAAACTTTTATAAACCCATAAAGGCTCACGAAAACTACACTTATGCTGCCAGTATAAGATTTTGCAGCAGCACGTAGTAGAGTTATGTATGCCAGACTGGACAAGAGCATAAACCTGATGGGGACTGCTGCTTTAGAAAATCTGAATGTCAGAGTAAATGACCTTTAAATTAGAGCAGACCAAACCTGGCAACCTTTTCTGACTTGGAGTGGAATATCTCGGAGACGTTATGGAGCATTAGGTTTGTTTTCCTCTTGGGTGAGTTTTTTGGTACTATTTTTATGTTTTATAATGTAAAGAAGTAAAAAAGGACCCAAAAAAGAATGAGAGTAGAGGGAAAAATCAGACAAAGAGGCATTTTTAGAGTCTTGGCATGTGAAGTGCTCTGTGAATTATTAAGTCCCTGCAGATGTGTCTGGCAGAGAAACAAGCAGCGTGTGATGCCAGGAAAAGGCAGAACGAAGGACAAATGAGAAACATACAGACACACATCTAACCTGTAGTGAATGAAACATATGAGTGTGTGCACACTGTGCTCCACAGTTATTTTAAAGCAAGGACAAAACTGCCTTTGTGCAATTTAAATAAAGCGTCTTCTTACCTTTGACTGGAGTTGCATCTGTATCGGTGATCTGAACGAGCTTGGTGAGGTGATCTGTTCAGAATAACAGGCACAGCTCAGAGTGGACAACAGACTAAAGTTCAACATTCGTTCTGAAGAATTAGAGGACTTCCACCTTTTCAGGCCTACACACAGCCTTGGCTGTTGTTTGCATGTATCCTCGAGTGCTGGTGTATCTGTATTTCTCTGACATCAACAGTGAAACTGAGCCATTGTTGTTACACTTGGAGCTGATAAATACCAAACAATCGCTACTTTTACTGAAATGCATGAAACCAGAAGACTTCACAACCAAGTCCACGCACAGACTGTTAGTGCTCTATTAGTGTAGACTATTTCCTGCTGTCTGATACATGTGAGAAACTGTCACTTATGTATGAAAAGAGCTTAAGAAAATTACTCCTTCATTCTCTGCTGCAGGTAGCAACATGTATGCTGGTAAAGTAGTCCATGCAAACAAAAATACTCGAGTTTCATTACAAAGTAAAGCAGTTTTAATAAAAGACATCAAAGAAAACCCTGAATACAGTAAATAAGGCAAATTAAATCAGTGCTTCCATATGTGACATGTGAGCTCACCAAAATACATCAAATACATGCATTAGAATAGCATTTTTTTAACATACATAAAAATGCTATTTTAAAGTCCTTCACAGTTAAGTTGTTTTGTTTTGGGGTTTTTGCCAACAATCTGTAATACTTTGAATAAAACATAACTGACCGGTGCAGTTGGGGATCACATGGAGGGCCGTGGTACCACTGACAGGTTTGCCATCAGGCGTGGAGCACCAGCAATATCCGGTCTGGTTGTGGCACTGTATGGGCATGAAGTGACCTTCGGGACCGCACGCAGGCACAAAAACTGCAGCTGCAGGACTACCACGGCTGCGGGCTCTGGCCTCAAGGCCCTGAGCTCGGGCCAGCTGGCATTTAGTCTGCAACGGATCTAAAACAGAGGAAATTAGTATCCATGTGTGCTGCTATAGATGGGAAGAGTGGAAATCATGAATCCTGATGACACAGATGTGCATACCGTTGCTCTGCCGACCAATAAAAAGTAGTCATTGTTAATTTAAGAAGAATGTTTCTATTGACTGAGTTGATTCACTTGGGAAGAACATTTTAAGCTGATTGAATGAAGGACAGGAGCACAGTGGTGTCCGTTTATTTATGCTCCCGGTTTAAGATTAAAACAGTCATTAAGAGCAGGCAGAGGTGGCAGGAAACTACAGCTGATTAATAACAGGCGTCTTTTTGTACTCGTGATATAAAGCAGCTCAAATTCAGATAGAAACATGAGAAAAGTTTATTTCAGTTCAGATTTTTTAAGCCAGTAAACTCACCACCAGAGCATCATGGGAAACATTAAGAACAGCTTGTGATGATGTCGCTGTAAAGCCCTGTACCTGCACAGTGTCCCCGTGGGACGTGGCGGAGCTGTGTGTTGATGCACTGTGCCCTCTGAAAGGCACACAGCGATTTATACAGCCTGCCATTGCTGCCACACACAGGTCTGTGGCGCCCCCTCTGGCAGTCCAGCACACAACCACGAGGCCACATGTTCTCTGTGATCAGGAAGGGCTGCAAACAGGAAACATTTAGAGTGTACGTTGATTGTCATGTCAGTTATAAACACACTATGAAGGGAAAAGACAGTAAAAAGAGGTTTTAAAGCTTCAACATGTCAGCCGTCTGTGAAGAGGTGGTGGTGGAATCCTGCTCACGGTTATAGTTTGTTCATATCCGTCTATGAGTTTTCAGTTTCTCTCTCCCGTGTCCTTGTATCTCATTTAAAAGTCTCTGTGCTTGGTGTTTTTCTGTCTTGTTACATCCTACTTTCTATTGATAGACTGTGTCTGGTGCATGTTTTAGCTTTACTTCTCTGTGTCATCTTATCCTGATTTAGTTCAGCTGTGTCCTCCAAGTGTGTCACCTCTCTCTGTGTATTTATAGTCGCTGTCTCCTTTTGGCAGATCGTCACGCTACAGCTGTGAAGGATAAAATGACCAGAACTTTGTCTGACTTGAAAGAGTGCTTAAAAGAAAACGAGTGAGAGAAAAGAGAATAAACGGCCTCACAAATGTGTCGGGAAAGGCCGTTACGGAGCGTGTCTTTCTCACACCTGCAGTTTTACCTGTAAACTGGCTCCAGCTTTGCAAACTGAGTGGATAAACTTTATTAATTGAGGGAGAATGGCAACTTTTATAGTTATTTATTCACCTTTCAGTCACTTTCATTTTAAACTGTGTAATTTTAAAACTGTATATTCTGTGTATTTATTATCTCAGTCTTATTGCCTGTTCTTATTGTTCTTATCTTTAACTGCTCTGTTGTATGTTAATTGCGCCTTGGGGATAAATAAAGTCTTTCTGATTCTTCCTGCACAGTCTCCATTTCTTCTAGGAGCTGTGATTGGCTCTGTGCCTCACGGGGAGACTTTAAGGTGCATTAAGTGATTTTTTTTTTTTTAATTTTCAAGGTAAATATAATGAATGAAAAATGAGTCTGTGACAAGCAGCATAATATTTTGGAAGAACTCTCATTAAAAGCTCTAAGAAGGCAGTGGAAACATGGCCAAAAGCTATTTAGACTGCACACCACAGTTTCCTCTTTTCTGAGCCGTACAATTTATGCTAATCTTTCACAATTCACCAAACTGCTTCCAAAATAATTCTGACGTTTTTACACTGCCATGAAAATACAATTTACAGGACTAATACTGCTACTGCATTTTACTGGGCACCACTCAAACATACCAGAAGAGGTACATTTGAGACACTGGGGATCAGAAAGGCCGCAGAAGAAAAATTCTTGTGAATTTTGTTGTGCATGATCAGATATAACAGACAAACCTTCAGAGCAAATTCTTCCAAAGATACTGAGAATTCACAACATGTAAACTTGTGACAAAGAGAGAGGAAAAGGGAGGAGAAGAGGCATTGATTCATGGAGAATCTGGTGAGTGCGATGACCTAAATTACTCCCACATGAGCCTGAAAGCCCACTCTCAAGTCACAATCACACACATCTCTATTTAAATACACACAGATTCCTCACACCGCCTCGCAGACTCACCGAAAACTCCCCAAACATACAAGGTGGTGCACACTCAGCTCACGCCTATACAATACATACAGAGTTGGCTGCTAACTCCACCCTCTCGCTCTTCATCAGAGCCTCTTTGTCAGCTGGCCTCCCCTCTCTCCTCACACACACTCTGAGACACACGGGTAAATTTGCTATGGTGTGTCAAACATTGCTGACATAATTTAGTGGTGAATGAGGCCTCTGTGCCTTAATGCCAGGACATTAATTAATGTATTGACTGTAGAGATTAATGTGAACAAATCAAGATACACAAACAGAGCGAACAAATAAAGCTTTGCTGCTGCTCTCTCCTCAGACACAAGAGCAAACACGACCAATTAAGTTATTTTAGTGAGCAAACATGTCAATCATTTGCTGGTTTTATGCAGACTGTTATGACGTGGCTTTGCAAATGTAATAATTTAGGTATTAGGGGTCCACACTTCGTTGGTGTTGCTTCAGTTCATTGAGATTTGTGGGGTATTTGTTCACGCACGTTATGCTGTGACGTGTTTAGGCCAGCCACCAATTCCACATGTTGATATGATCCTTGGACATTTACCCACAATGTACTTTGTGATGTTTGCATTGTCCCTGAGTAATTCAACAGCCGGTGACTCAGAAATGAAGGTAAAAAATTGAAAAATTGAACGCTACGAACTCAATCAGCTGATTCAGAAGAGGTCAGAGTGAGTCGTGGATTTTACACGGAGGACAAAAGGAAGAATGAGAGGAATGCATCCTGGAAGAGAAAGAGGCAATTAAGAAAAAATAATAAATGAATAAAACACTGCCAAGGGAATAAATGATGAATAAAAAATATGTTTTTAGTTATGAAAGGAATAAAAAAATTAATTTGAGGACAGAGAAAAAATAAAAACTTATTAGTGAAAAGCAGCCTAGAGGAGGTGCAAGAGGATTGAAGGGTGGAGCAGGAGTCTAGCTGGTAGACTGGCTTTCCTGTCTGTCAGGCACAACTACACCAACGACTCCTCAGTGTTAAAATGATTCGCATCAATGTATCTGGCCTTGTAAACTCGAGCCTGAGTGTGTGCGAGCAGCAGAGAAAGTGAGAACAAGCTGCCACTGTCTCCTCCTGCCTCGCACCTTCCAGATTCCTCAGAGTGGCGGCTGTAGGAAAACAGAAAAACTCATCTCCTGAGCTTTGCCGTGTGATGTTTGGCGTGAGAGAGCAGCTGATGCTGACGAAAGGCCTGTTAACACCCCGAGCTGGGATTTAGCGTCAGAACAAACTGCCTGTGTCGTGGGGAATCACTCGCTTAGCATTTTTTTTTAAAAGTCTGAATTTCATTTATGCAGCAGGTCATTAAAGGGCAAACACACACAGATGAATGATGATGACATGTTTACATCTCAGGTGCAGATGTGTATGCACAAACATCACCTTGTTTTCTTCATGCATTCCCTGAGAAGACGCATACCATCACACTGCTACACATACATATGGTGCGACTGGAGGAGACCAGCTCTTTTGTATATTTCAAACCATACATCCAGTTTCTGCTGTTTATCAGGTGAGACACCTTCTCCCCTGTCACCTCCTCTAGCTCTTCTCGCTGGACACTGAGCCAGTTTAGAGATGTAATCCCTCCAGCGTGTCGTGGGTCCATCCTGGGATTTCCTCCCAACTAGAGTTGCCTGAAAAATCTCCCCAGGCATCCAGGAGGCACGCCCAAACCACCTCAACTGGCTGCTTTCAGTGAGGAGGAATAGTTGCCTAAAGCAACTACCAGTGAGAGCAGAGGACATGAATGACTGACTCTGGTGGGGGAATTAAAGCAATCAGACACCGGAATATCCACACGCCTCTGAATTTGTAGCACCAGCCAAATTCTCATTCGCTATTTTACAGTTTCCAGACTCACAGCTGCACGGGGAGATGAGACTAACATCACCGTCCAGCTTCGTATCATTTATTGGCTTTAAATGCCCTACACAGCTTTCTCATACAATCTGGTCCACGAAAAGTTAACATAAACTGGTTTAGCTTTTATTATGTTTAGTCAAGCAACATACTACATTTTCATTACAGTTCTGCAAGTAGGACGCCCTGCAGACTTTAATAAAACTGATTCCAAAATGGAGAATTTTCTTCTTGCACATACTCTCGTTCAGTGATCGTGTAGGACATCTCGTTAAGAAGTAAAAGACCTTTGACCGTTTAGTTTATGTACGAATTTCCTTTGATGTCTTTGTGAATTTTTGGATCTGGTTATGGCCCTAATACTGTAAAATCCAAACACATTATCTCAACATAGAGATCTTATTTATAAAGATATTATGTCCCTCGTAAAAAGCACTAATACAAAAAAAACAAAAAAAAAACAGAAGGAGGTACGGGACAGCTGGACTCCCACAGGAGATGTTGTGGGTCAAGTTCAGCATCTTCCAGCCTGAGCTGCAGGGACATTACTTCTTGTCATCATTCATCATTCACCAACTACAACTACAGCCTCTGTCAGGATTTTACAGCATGCCAGGGGCTCACTCAGAGGCCAGGCTGCTGTCAAACACTGTCAGGGTTTTTATGGTACAGTCTTCTATCCAGTCCAGCAGGAAACAGCGAGCAGAAAGAAGACAGAAGCTTTACAAATGCAGAGATATTTTTTAAAACTCTATTATGACGATGCATTCAGGCAACAGTGGGAAACCTAAAACAATATACAATGTTAAAAGTTATTTTATTGATGCTATTATTAACAATGTAGTTTTAATTCTTTATAACTGGAAGAGACATTTTTGATTTCTTGAGACATCACAACCCCAATTCCTTTTTTTTTTCTTCTTTTGCCTGTCCCGTTTGGCTCTTTTGCATCAGAATTATTGTCTAAAGGCGAAGAAAGATGCCCAACGGATTTACTTTACCACATGGACCATCCCAGCCTTGCCATAATGGTCTATTTGATTCACCTTTTATTGTTTATTTTATTTTCACTTGCTAAATACGGGACAGACTTGACTGGGGAAAAGAAAGAGGGAAAGAAAAACAGCAGAGAAGAGGAACGGGGATAAAGGGCAAAAAACAAAACAACAAAATAAGCAGACAAAAAATAAATATATCAATCACCTGGATCACCTGTTGAGAAAGAAAAAAGAGAAAACAAGCAGAAGAAAAAAAAGAGAAACATAATAAACATCATCACGATGATCTAAATATTAAACATTATTGTGCAGCACATAAGATCAACAGAACACAGTGTGCTTTGAGGTAGGAGCCAAAAAGGGTGTAGTTTGTGGGTGTGATCACCCGTGTGTACACCTGTGAGCATGAACGCGCTTGTTTTTAAAAGGTTCCTTCATGTAATGATCTACTAGAGGGTGTGGGGGGGCCACAGCCCCGTCCTCCAGGACATGAAGCAGGTGTGGAGGAGATCAAAACTCCAGACATCCAGAGGCCCCCAGAACACAAGAGACCAAGGAAGACCAACAGAGGGGCAGCTGCGCCACTGTCCCAGTAAGAGCTGAGGAGAGTC